GCGGGCGCAGCGCAGCCGAGGGCGCCCGCGTGCGCCCGGGCTCACCGGTAGTTGACGGGCCAGCGCACCATCCACATGCGGTGGTAGGAGAGGGAGGTGACGGAGAAGCAGGTGGCCAGGGTGAGCGTGTAGAATGTGGACACGAAGACCTTGCAGAGGCCCTCGTTCCACTCGTAGTCGGGGCGCTGCCGCCGCAGCTGCACCACGGAGTAGGTGGCGATGGGCACGGCCACGTTCAGCATGTGCGTGGCCGCCAGCGTGCACAGCAGGAACTCCAGCGGCTTCCACTTCTTCTGCTTGGCGCCCACGCTGAGGATGCCCCAGGCGTTGGCCAGCAGGGAGAGGCCCCCACAGGCCAGCCAGCCCACCGCACTGCCCGGCAGCCGCCGCTCCTCACTCATGGTGCAGACGGGAGCTGGCCGGCGGCCCGGGCATCCTCCTGGTCCAGGACTCGACGGGGGGCAGTGGCCTCACACGCAGCAGCTGGGGGACGCCAGGGACCGCGAGCACCTGCAGCAGGGGAGCAGTGGGCACCCCGTGACCCCCCAGGTACAGCGCGAAGCCCCGTGACCCCCCGGTACAGCGCGGGCCGGGAGCTGCTGGGGCCGTGACCTGTCCGCTCGGCCGAGGTGGGCTGCCCTCCCACCTCTGCACCCCTGGGCCTCCGGCCCAAGACTGGGCACCAGGGAGGGGAGGGGGCTTGTGCCCTCTGGGCAAGGTGTGGAATCTGGGTCTCCTCCCGGCCACCGGCACCCTCAGGGGACCGGCCAGGCGGGGCCCGCAGCACGCCACAGAGCCCTGGCTGCGCTTGGATCCAGAAGCCCATGAACCGCCCCCACCCCCAAGTCCTCCTGGGCCAACCCCCAGCTGGCTCCATGGCCGGCAGACCCTGGCATAATCACAGGGTCAAATCAAGCTCCCGCCGTCTGCCACGTCCTCCCCCGTCATGGGGCAGCGATGCCACCTCTGGGGCCAGGGTTGGCCACGTGCCTCCTCTCTGAGCCCTGGGATGCCCACGAGGGTGCTTTGGGGAAGTGGGTGTTTTGCTCCAAAGCCTTGGGCCGTCTGGGCCCCGAGACAGTCTGGGGAGCAGATCTGACCCAGAGGAGGGTGTGCTGACCGCCTGTGGGCAGCAGCCAGACACCGGGCAGCAGACACCGTCGGGGAGGGGCCCTGTCCTGCCAGACCCAGCCTCGTGACCCCCCGGGACTGCGTCCAGCTTGGGCTGGGGCCCCCTGCCAGCCCCGTGCCGGGGCCGGCTGCCTCGTTGCCCAGAGATCTGTCGTCGTGGCTGCGGCCTGCCCTCCCTGGACACCGAGGGCCCTCCGAGGACGTCTCACTCAGCTTCACGCCCTGCCATGGGCCTGCCCAGACCGCGGCCCAGTAGAAGCATCTATGCTTGACCCCTAGTGCCCCTCGAAGGCCTCCTCGGAGCTGGGGGGGCTCAGGCTGGGCAGCGCTTCCTAACCACGAGGCTTCTGCTTTGCAGAGCAGCCGCCCCTTCCCGCCTGGCCAGTGTGGCCCTGTGGTACCCCCACCAGCCACCCTCCTCAGCACACAGCACCCACAGCCACACAGAGTGGGCCAGCGACCTGCCAGAATGCACCCCCACCCCCCACCAGTGACTGCCTGTCCCAAGCCGGCCTCAGTTTCCTCACTCAGTCAAGGGAGCCAGGCTTGACAGGGGAAGGCCTCCGGCGGGGCTGGACGCAGCAGGTGCTGGACAGCAACCTGTGTTGCCCTGTCCACTCTGGGCCATCTGACCCCGAGGCTCAGGACACTGAAATTGGACGTGAAGGACCCTCAGACACATGGGGGACAGTTACCCCAGCCAGAAAGTGGGAGCAGGGAGGGGGCACCTCGGAGACCCAGAGCAGGCAGTGTGGGACGCTACGTGTACACGCCCAGCGCAGAACCGGCTGTGGTCAGCCCCCAGGCGGCGGCCTGCCCGCAGATGCCCCGCAGTGCTGTCCGCCGGCGAGCCCAGGTTCTGCCCGCGTGTCATTCACAGGACGGCGTCACCAGCTCTGCCACCATCCAGCTTAATGACGGCCCGCAGGGCGCGGCTCGGGGGGCCGGGGTGACGCGGGGAGGGGGTGCATCTCCTTTGCACAGGGCCTCCTCCCAGCGGGCACCCCACTACATGTGACAGCAGCTGCCAGCGCCCCCACTGTAGCAGCACCCGAGCAGAGGCGAGCGAGGTGAAGCCATTCCGCAGTTTATTATGCGCCTGCTCAGGGGGAATCCGGGCGCTCAAACCCCAGGGTGCTGGAGAACGGGGCCCCCTGTGCCCACACCGCTGCTGGAAACGCCAGGCTCGGAGCTGGGCAGGCCGGGCCGGAGCCTGGCCCTCCTGGAAGCAGAATGTGGCTGGCCGGGGTGGGGAGGGGACAGTCTCCCAGTGCACGAGGGGGCTGGCTGCGCGCCGGCTGCCCCCTCCCGGGGCCGGTGCGGGATCACAGCTGCCGTGCACTGCCCACCGGGAGGAGCGGACCCAGGCCGCGCTCCGGCCGGTGGGGTGTCCACCGGCAGGTGGGGTCCGGTCCGCACCCGGGGTGCTACCGCCCCCTGCGGGGAAGTTTCTCCTGCCTCGAGCCCAAAGTGCGCACGAAGCACTTCAGGGTGGGACCCCCCTCCCCGCGGAAACCAGAGACCCTCTGCCCCCGCGCCCCACCGCCCCGGGGCGCCGAGGGCGAAGCTGCGCGCCTCACCCCGGCCCAGAAAACTCGCTCGCGGGGTCTGCGGGCGGGGCCAGGCCGCGTGACGTCACGGGCGTGGGCCAATGAGGCCGCGCGGCCGCAGGGCTCTATTGCGCAACAAAGAGAACCCAGAACTTGAAAGGATTCCCCGGGCTCCGACTGCGCCCTCCGGGCTCGCGGCGGGCCTGCGCCCCGCACCGCC